AACAAGTGAATCAAAGGCACACGTATTTTGAAGAACGTATGTCCTGGCATCGATCATAACAGAACCACACTTGCTGGAATGTGGTAGTAAATGTGGTTTAACCCTCGTCTTCTTCACCCTAAGATCACAGTATTGGATTTCCGGACAAGTGCGGAAATATTTCGCCTGGGATTTTTTCATTTGAGGTGACTGTTTCGGTGGTGGTATATCAATGTAATCATGCTCTAGTAAAACATTTCGAAAATCCTCTGTGCTCAGTTGTGAGTTAATTACCTGCCCTTCTGCTGTTGTTGAATTAAAGACAGTTCCTGCATCGAAGTCACGACTGTTCACTTCCACGTCAGGAAATTCATCCATTTTAGATGAGCTAAACATGGCAAGATGGTCTGCAAGGAGTTCACTGTCAATCCCCAGACTATCTCGTGGAATTGTATTCTCCATCGCATCAGAGTCACCAACCTCAACTTCCTGACAATATGCACTGATCTCAGATCCATACCCCTTGGACTCACGACGCTTCTCGGCTTTCTCAGTTTCATCAATTCTACCCACTTCACTCTTCTCATGTTTCTCGGTATTTACGAAGTGATGAGGTGCACCTTTACCTCTCCAATTTTCTCTGCAGAATTGCTCATCGTCATCTGACGTATCGGTCAGAACTATTTTGCCTTTTGATAACTTTTCATCAATCGATTCTTTCTCCGCAGCTGTCTTCCTCCTTTTGGATAAATGATTATTCTGATAATCTTCTGGACTTATTATCCCGCTCTGAACCATAGGCTCATGTATATCCTCTGGGAAATTTCCCTTCTCCTGGTTCATTTTGCTTTTAGGTGGATTATCTGCGGCACAATTATTTCGCTTCAGCGGAAGATCTTTGACTAAGGGACTAGAGATATGCTGATCTTGATTCAGGAAATGTTTCAGATTTGAGTCAAAGTTCAGTTGTTCTCCTAGGAGAGCTCTAGTGTGAACAATGAGAAAATTGTCCGCACGCTGTGGTAATCCGTAATTCTTGAAGACTTTATTCTTCGGAATACTGAAGTGTGCCTCTGAAGAACTGGAACTATGATGACCCATGTAAAAAAGGATTCCCAACAGCAGTCCACAGTAAAAATTCTCTCCCAACTCGTCTCAAATCCTTTATCAAATCTGGAAGACAATAGGCGTTCAAGTTATTGCCCTCTGTAATGACATTTCGAGCAGAGGCGATTATTTGATCGATCAAACCAGTGAGTTGAGGACTATCATGCTCTTCTTCGATAGTAACGTCAGGACTAAAGTCTTCGAGTTTCTGCATGTCTTTGAACTGTGCAAATCCATTTTCATCCAGAGGACGGGTCGCTATGAAATTCTGCAGCTGCAGACGTGCATCTTGGACAGTGGCAGCGAAAGGTGATCGCACTTGACAATCTTCATAGCTTTGAAGAGCTACTAAGCATGTAAGATAAAATAACTTCTTGAAGTCCTCCAACTGTTGACAGTCTACCATCATAGCCAAGGCTCGAATGAAGAAATCTTTCACCGCTGGTAATTGCAAATTTTGAAATATTTTCCATTTTGTTGCGGCGTGAGTGAAATGAGCAACGTCAGAAAACAGGAAGGTGTCCATAGTTCGAGGAGACAGTGTATTTGTTTTCACTGCAATGAATAATCTCTCCAGATATTGGCTTGTTGTGCAGCCATTGAACGCTATTGACTCAGCGAGGAAGAGGGTTTTAGAAGCATCAGAGATACATCTTTTAGGTTTAATGGCAGCTCGTCGAACAAATGCTCCGAGCATTTGTATCACAGCTTCCCACTCTTGACACTCTGATATCATCTGACAAACAGAAAGAATGGTTTTCGAGAAATTTATCACAATAGAGAATNCAGAAGCATAGACAACTGTGAATGGATATGACGAGACATGCGTGATAGTCCCGTTATAAGGTTTTGCCACTGGAGCTCTTCAATTACATGTATTGGGCTTTTCTTTTTCTGTCTCCAACCCGTGGTCCACCTGAATAAAGTCCTGCTTACAATGACGGATAACATCCGATGAAGGGACAGTTGGTGCTACAGGTTCCCCCTTTCTCGTTGTTTCCCGGATCATGGCATTTCTTGCATTATAAGAACCTTCCGCTAATGCTCTTCTACCAACTTCCATTCTTTTTTCCCCATTGCATGGACGAGCTACAGGTGCATGCTTCGTACCATATGTGTCTCGTGTCCTAATCAATAATTTTAACTCTCCTGTGATGGAACAGGGCTCATCATCGGCGATTCCCCGAAATCGGTTGCCATAGTCCTTGTCTAAGCAATGACCAACGATTGTGAGGTAGTGTTTTCTGTTGGGAGACACACAAACGACTGCCCGTTTCAAAGCAAAAGCACAAGGCAGCCTGAATTCTCGTTGAAACAGATCAGCAATCGTATTTGTCCATACTTTTGGCTTTAAAGTATTTGTAGTTCTACCTCCTTTAGACTTGACAGGCTTAATCTTGTTCCAAATTTTGGATGTCAAGATCAACTCGAACGTGGTTTCATTCTCATCAACTTCAGAGACAGTCTCATCACAAATTATCTCTCCTCTCGAATTATCCCCGATGGTCTCATTAATAGATACATTAGGAGCTTCGAACGGTATCTGAACGTTTTTATTGACTCAGGCAATAATCAATATTCCACGTCTGTCTTGAGTCACATTAGTATACCAAGAGAGTGCAGTCCAATTCTTTTGACAACAATTAGCACTCATCAATTTCCAAACTTCGGCATTACTCCTGGGTAAAAAAATAATTTATGTGTTCCTCACCCGCTGCAATTGCCTCATCCTTTGGTACAACACTATTCTGCGGTATATTGCAAAGTGGTCTTGGCACACCTGAAAATTATAACCTGTTAAATATGATAAAATCACCTTCTAGATATAAAGGATGCAATATATTATTACCCAAATGTTTATCTTATGGAGAAAAAATTAACAATAAATTATCACCGCACACGACAACAAATACGACAATGACAATGTGAAAAAGAACACAGACCACATGCTGTCTGCTGAATCAACAGTTGTTCTGTCGTTCTGCCTCGACCCCTCGTCCTGTGGCCCGCTCTTTCATGGTTAAGTTTCCAGAAGTGACGGAAATCGCCATCACTAATTACAAAACAATAAATTCTCGAATCATCGTCAAATTTTATTACTGCGATGAAAGATCTACAGTTAATCGTAAATCCAATTTCATAGAAATCCAATACTCGATTCGACTGTTTTTAGTGAAAGCGATGTCAGTATTTTTAATCACTAGGACCGAACATCAAGTGTTTCTAATATATTAATTTCCGTCGTGGTGAAATGAATATTTTGAAAATTCTAAGAACTCAGCTCAAATGTCATCGTTAAATATTCAATTTGAGGTTAGAACTACAATAATTAAGAATAACTAGAATAACTAAGAATCCCAACCCATGTCATTAACCAGCACAAATGGAGAAACAGTATTGAAATTGCATTTGTAGAAGTATATAGTGTTTGGGAAGGGAATGAATGGTGTGTTTGGTGACAACAGGTAAAAGAAATTTTTTTATTTAATAATGAGATTAAACATAAAATGCCCATGCCAATCAAAGGACTCATTACATTGACGAGTCAATGACGAGTAAAAATTCATCCATATAAATTCACTTACATAAGTGCACGTATCTGGAGCCTAAATCTATTATCAATGTGTACATTAATAAATAATACCCCCAACCATCATTCATCCAGCTGACCTGCAAAGAATGTTTTAAACAATTTGAATGAGATGGGTCCTTTCGGAATAATTATCGTGAATTGACTCACCTTGAACGATTCAACTTTTTTCTTTCTAACTTCTTTCCAGTCGATTATCAAGATTTTATTTTCGAATGTATTGATACAAGAGAGGTGGTGACGGTCCATAGTCCTTGATATTTTCTTCAGTGCGAGAGTTTGTAAAAGTCTGGCCCTTCGAGATTCGTTATAAATCCTTCGCTCCTCTGTAAAACATCATAATTTCCATTGCGCTGTGTCAGTTACAGTCATAGTAATTCGGAATGAATACTTGTACCCGGTGTGATTTTTGAAAGTTTAATGCGAAAAAATCGCTTTGGGTACAAATAGTCACTCTCATAGTTAGATAACCAGGAGTTACTCGTACCATTCCATGAGACAGCCCACTGCTTCAAAACTCCTTTCCCCTTTGAATGTACAGCGATTTCCGCAAAGTTCAACGATATGAGGAAGATTGTTACAATTGACACAATCGAAATTGCATAATTATTATTTCGAAAATGCAAGGGGAAATACTTGACAGTGCTCCAAAATGAATATGGCGTCCAAGAGCACTTTTCCACTCCTTTTACCACTCCGTTGACGCGATAAACTCAATAGCGATTATCCCTCGTAATTGCTAGGTCTTTTCACCTACCGCACAAATGTAATTCCGACTGAAGATTACCCGTTCAATAATTTCGATGCTGTAGAATTTATTACTGTTCGAATAACATTAAAAATTGAATTACTCCAGCTAGCATACGTATTATATGATAAAATTTAACGGAGTAAATGTAATCGTCGATAATACAGAGACTGCCTAGAAGGTAACCGCTTGGTGGGGATGAATGACGATTGGTTATATGCAGTTAATTAATTAACAATGCATGTACAAACGACCAAATTATGAAATTCGCAATCTACAAACGATTTGCAATGAAATAGAGTCATTTTTGATATCAAATGAACAATTTTAATTTTTTTGTCGGCCAGTATCATGTGAGAAATTAATAAATTAATTACAGCTAATTAATGATTCTACTAACGAAATTTTCGCATGTACCATCAAGTACTAACGATGTACAATCACCTACATAAGGTACTTTTTCTAATTAGTGCAATTGTCGGCTAAATACCTGGGGGTCAGGCAGTTCGCCCAGCCGTCAGATTCGACCGTGGCGCCATTCCTCCGTTGGGGTCTAACTATTTTTGGCTTGGGGTCACTTCAACCCCGAGATCTGAGCCTCTACTTTAGTCAATCCTCTTTGGGTTGGGGTGACTCAGAGAGATTCTCTGACCCCCTCCCCTTGTCAGGTAAAAATTATACCCCACCGTTATCATGCCTCCCCCTCCCAACCTCTCGCAAAGTCTAAATTTTCTGAGATTGTTATTGTTTATTTAACAATTTAATTTTTCATTAAATTAACGCATGTAAACGGAGGGATGAAGGTGGCTTAGATAGGTTCTGGGGACCCCTCCCCTTGCCAGGTAAAATTTGCAACCCTCCGTTTTCATTCGCCTACCCCCTGCACCTCATCGTGAAATCTCAAACTTTGAAATTTTCATTCTTTATTCAACAATTTCATTTTTTATTCACTTAACACATGTAAACGGAGGAATGAGGGTGGCTCAGATAGGTTCTGGGACCCTCTCCCCTTGTTGGGTAAAATTTGCAACCCTCCGTTATCATACCTACCCCTTCCACCCCCTCGATATATGTATATTTTCTGAGATTTTCATTTTTGATTTAATAATTGCATTCTTTATTTGATTAAGGATGTTTAGCCAAAACCCGCTTTATTCACCATAATTTTGATATTGCTTCACATGTCGGGTTCATATTCGAGCCACACGTTAGTAATAATCTTAATCCTTCCATCGGGGCATCCTAATGAGAAATTAATTTCTGAAAATACTCCTTGTAACATTACGCTTATGGCAGAAACGTGACCGTGTGAACTTTGATCAAAATGTTCCATGGGTTAGACACTCAAGATATTTAAAAAAAACCACAAGCCATTTACTTTAGACTATGGAGAATCTATCGCCGGCGAGAAAAAGTAGGGGACCGGGGCCATATAAGCGCGATATCTTCAATTGATTTTCGAATTTCTCTAAAAAAAATTGGACCGCCATGACGAGTCGAGCAACGCGACAACACCACACAACAGCTGATTGAGGTCGGTAAAGTCATTGACGACAATTCAGTGCTGGAAGCATATGGACACGTATAACCCACACAAACATCCACCTCACTGTTACGACCCCACCACTAGTCGAAGCGTGCAATGTTGCCCGATCAAAATTCGACTGTTACCACTGGAGTCACAAGTCCTCCAGTATTTATTAACTTTTTCTTTAATTATTGTTTTTCAGACCGGAAAAGTACGCCAAGTAACTTCTAATTTGATAAGAAAAATAATTTGCGACATGAATTATTTATTCAATTTTATTTTTGTTTTCAACGGAGTTATGCTCACTTGATAGGTTAAACATCCTTAACGCGTGCGAAACACATTTTGTCATTCCCCCAAATTATTTAAAAAAATTAGGGGTGAAAAAGTGACCCCCGCCCACGGTCCCCGGCGGTTCAGTGCGCCGTAAAGATGTGCATATCGTTCGCCAGAATCTTTCGCCAGTTTCAGGCTCATCCAAGTGCTAGTATGAAATGTGCCCATTCTGCATATCCCGCCTTATATGGATTTATCTCGATAACAAGTGTTTTGACGAAAAAAAATCAAAAAACACTTTTTGTTTAAAATTCAGTCAGCTACAAAAAACCTTTGTTTGGTGAATGTCTAGGGTTAGGGTGAATGTGGGATGAAAATGTGGAGGGAGATGTTGGGAAAATTATGTTAGGCGTTTTATAAAAAATCTCAATATATTTTCGTGGGATCGAACCACTTGTCACTATTGCTTTACACTCTTTGGTAGATTTACTGTTGAATGTCTAATTTTCACTGATAATTGTCTTGTCACTTTTATCTCGTTGAGTCACTGAAAATATACTGAACTTAATCAACAAGTTGATGTACTGAACAAAGATATTAAATTTAGAATACTGATTGACTGAATACTCTAGCTCATTATCGTAACGATACTTTAACACTACTGACTACTGACTCCTCCGGGTACCGCGCTGACCTGTGTCCGTTGACCCGAAAGTTCACGGAGATTTTCGGAGATGGCCGAGTTAGTCGACCGTGACCAATATGGAGATTTAGGCTGTATTTCGAACACCCCGGGGGCAATTCATCATCAGGGATGATGAATTAATGGTGATTCTAGTCCTGTTGATCTTCTTCTGCATCATCGTCTGGAGGTTGCTCTGGAGGTGGTGGATCTAATGGCAGTAGGCAAAGCTTGGTGATTGGTCTGTCAAGCTCTGTGTAGATTGTTCTAATGTTTTCTATGATTGGTGATCCATCTGCCTGCCTTGGTACTTCTGCGTTTGCGGTTCTTATAGTTGCGACTCTCGTTAGCCCATCTGCTCCTGGGCGTGTCGCAATGACTCGTCCGATTGGCCATTGTGCTGGTGGATAATTTTCGTCGATCATCAGCACCATGTCGCCAATCTTGATGTTCTCTTCTCGATGCGTCCACTTATAAATTGCCTGATATTGTTGAAGACACTCTTTGGCCTACCTGGGCCAGAATTGTTGAGTTAGCTGCGTTACCAGGTTCCATCTCTGCAGTTTGCTGGGGTTCTTGTCGATGATTGATGGCTCTGGAATCAGTTGAAGAGGCTCACCTATCAGGAAGTGTCCTGGGGTGAGTACTTGGAGATCGTCTGGGTCATCTGACATGGGACAGATTGGCCTGGAATTTAGGCAGGCCTCTATCTGGATCACGACACTGTTGAGTTCCTCAAATGTGAGTGTTGTTGTCCCCAAGACTCTTCTAAGGTGATATTTTGTTGATTTCATGGCTGCTTTCCACTTGCCACCAAAATGGGCTGCTCGTGGTGGTGAAAAGCTCCATTGAGTCCCATTGGTGGCGAGAACAGCCTGAACCTGCTGATTTTCTCTGGATGCTCGGTGATAGATTTTCTCTAGGACCTCTGCTGCGCGCACTAAGGTAGTGGCATTGTCACTGTACATGACAGCTGGAATACCCCGCCTTCCGGTGAATCTCTTGTAGGCTCCGATGAAGGCGTCCGTTGTCTGTCTGGTGACTAGCTCTAGGTGAACTGCTGATGTGGTGAAGCACACAAAAACTGCAATGTGCACTGACCCTGGTTGTGCATTCGTTGGTCTCCATTTGAGGATGGCGAATGGTCCTGCATAGTCCACCCCTGTGTGGAGAAATGCTCTTGCTGGTGAGATTCTCGTTGCTGGTAGTTGACCCATCTGTTGCTGGGCCTGTCTTCCTCGGTGTCTGGTGCAGATGGCACAGCGTTGAATATATGCTCTAACTGTGCCTCTGTCGCCGATTATCCAGTACCTTTGACGTATGTCGGCCAAGGTGAGTTGAGTTCCTCCGTGTAGTGTTTTGCGGTGAGCTTCTTCGACGACTAGTGTGGTGAGACGTGACTGGCGAGGCAAGATTATTGGGTGAATTTCGTCTGGATTTAACTGCGAGTTCTTGAGGCGTCCCCCAAGTCTCATGATCCTTTCGTTGTCTAGTGTGGGTGTCAGCTTGGCTAGTTGATGATTTCTCGGTAGTTGGTGATTTCTCTGGAGTACTCGAATGGCTGGCCCAAAGTATTGATGTTGGGTTATCTTTACCCAAAATAACCTCGCGTCGTTGAGTTCTCTTGTTGTCAAGACAGGTCCCGGGGGCGTTGGCTGCCTCCTGAATCTGTCGATAGCTCTGTTGACCGTAGCTGTTACGGCTAGCAATTTAGCCATCGTCTGATATCTGTTGAGTAGCTCTGCAATTTCGTTGATTTTAATTGCAACTGGATGTGCTGGTGCTGGTTTTGCTTCTCTGGCCACTTCTGGGATGTCCATGGCTGGGGCGTCGATTGATGATTGTGGCCATTCTTCAGGATCCTGATTGATCCACTCAGGTCCTGACCACCACAGTTGATGATCTTCTAGCTGGCTCGGGGATATGCCTCTGGAGGCACAATCAGCTGGATTCTCCTTTCCACTGACATGTCTCCAGGTAGCATTCGGGAGAGTTTCCTGGATCTTGACGACCCTGTTGTGGACGAAGTCCTCCCATCTTGATGCATGGCTCCTGATCCAAGCTAGTGCTACTGAAGAATCAGACCAGAGATAGATGTCTACCTGGTCGAGTTGGAGCATTTTCTTCGTTGATGCCACTAGCTGAGTCAGTAGAAGAGCTGCTGTGAGCTCTAGACGAGGGATGGTCATGCGCTTGAGTGGTGCTAGCTTAGTCTTCGCGCATACCAGTACTGTTGATGTCGATTCGTTGATGGTTTTGGTGCGAATATACACCACTGCACTCATGGCTACCGTTGAAGCGCCTGCAAATCCATGAATTTGGATGTTGAGTGTCTCTGTTGAAATTCTCAGCCATCTAGGTACAGTTACTCTGTCTAGGTCATTGAGATTCTCTCGGAATGTCTTCCAGCGTTGAACATACTCATCTGGAAGAGGATCATCCCATTTTAGTTTCAATCTCCAAAGATCTTATAGGAGAATCTTTCCCTGGACGACAACTGGTGCGATAAATCCCAGTGGATCAAAAATCTGGGCTATTTCTGAAGAGACTACTCTCTTGGTGATTGTCGCCGTATTGAAATCCTTTGATTTGTACCGGAATGT